AGAATCACTAGTAACTTGTGTTTGGCTCGATGAAGCCACACACAAAAAATATGAGGCACTATAAAATCGTTGTTAGAAATAAAAGTGGCCTGGTGGGCAAATGGCTATCACAGTCCTTAACCCTCGAGCGGGCGCTTGTGGAGTTTTCCTCCGCACTTGTAGTTTTGATAAAATAATTATGCATAATGGGCGCCGGCAGTCGAGTCCGGCTACATACTTCACGCACCTCATCACGAGAATGCCCCTAAAATATTTTTACCCCCAAATTCCTCCTTATTTGGTTGTCAGTTGCAATTCAGTGACGCGGTGTCAGTTTGCGGAGCTTTTCTCCGCGTCGCCCTGTCGTGTAAGTCATTAGCGCAGAGTTTATTTCCTCATGCCCTCTTCTGTGTTAGAGGTGACTGCTGTTTTTTATGTGTCTGTTAGTAAAGTAGATGATTATTTGGTGTTCTCGTTTTGTATTAGACTGATGCCACTATAGATTTATTAGAAAAGGAGAAATTACGAGGATTGCTTGATAGTGTCAAAAGGGAAGAAAGAATAGAAGAAATACAACCAAAACAAGATTTTGATTAGGGTATTACTCATTTAGTTGAGACTTCATTTATGTACTTCAATTTATATTGCGTATCTTTTTTGTTAATGTATAGTATTAGCTGTTAGTACACATTAACAAACTTCATGATTGATATTTTATTATTTATTTGTTTATATAATATTATTAAATTGTTTATATTATTATTATACACATAAAATTTGTCAAACCGTGTGTATATTTTATATACAGGGTTATTCTAAATGATGGACCCATTTTTAATGCCTTATCATTTTTATACTATTAAACTTACCGCTATAAAATACACATCAAACGAAAAAGCAACTCAAAGAGTTTATGTCTTCGAAAGACACATCATTTAACAAAATCGATCCAACAGAACTGTAGATTTAATTGTACAAAGTTAAAAAGTAATCTCCAACTTTTTTTACCACTAGAAATTTGGAGGTTACTTGACGTTTTTGCAAATAACTTTTAAATGGTGAGGAAATCGACCAAAGTGGAAGGTAATATTCCGAAAGAGAATAAAATGTCCTACAATCTACTCTTACGCATATCTTGAAAATACTCAATAAATGTAGCCTAAATTTGGCTTAAAATAAAAAAGTGTGAAATTAAATGTTTGCTATGTTTATTGTCTACATTGAAGAGGGGGAATTTCAATTTTTTTTTCATTTTGAGGCAATTTTTGGTACTTTTCTTGAGTATTTTCAAAAAATGCATAATAGTAGATTGTAGGAAATTTTATTCTCTTTCGGAATAATACCTTCCACTTTGGTCGATTTCCTCACCATTTAAAAGTTATTTGCAAAAACGTCAAGTAACCTCCAAATTTCTAGTGGTAAAAAAAGTTGGAGATTACTTTTTAACTTTGTACAATTAAATCTACAGTTCTGTTGGATCGATTTTGTTAAATGATGTGTCTTTAGAAGGCGTAAACTCTTTGAGTTGCTTTTTCGTTTGATGTGTATTTTATAGCGGTAAGTTTAATAGTTCAAAAGTTATAAAGCGTTAAAACTGGGTCATTCATTTTGAATAACCCTGTATACTAAAATATAAACATGTTTAAATGTATTATTTCATTTATAATTATTATTAAATATATTTTGTTTGCATAGATATGTATAATTGCACTATTACGGAACAAAACTCTGCATGCGCCCTCTCTCGTAACACCAACAGTGATACCTTTATACTAGAGAATTGCTCAATATGATTAGTTGAAATATTACTCATATTTCAATAATGTTATTATTAATAACAAATAATGTTATTAACAATGAAATTAGTTTCCTGATTAGGTTATTCAACATTTACATACAATATTCCGTTATAACAACAGGTAAAATGGGTAAAATTTGTGCTATTTAGTGGTGCGGAATAACACTCTGCCTGCTCCTGTTTTACTGGTGAAGCGCCTGCTCAAGGGTGATCACTGTCTTGTTCTACTCCTTGCTTGCCTCATTATAAACTGAGAAAGGGTGCAATAGACTGGGTTCAAATACAGTTGAATAAATCACAAATTGTTAGTAAGATCTTTTAAAAGTAAAAGTAGGGACGTTTTATTTGTAGTCCTTATCTTGCATGTATTATATACAGGGTGATTACCGAGAAACGCATGTTTTTCAAATAACGAGTACTCGGGTATTTCAGAGCAAAAAATATATTTATGAGTGGAAAAACAGTGTACACAATATTCAATTTTGGAATAAAACTACTTACAATTTAGCGTTTAAAAATTACATCTCTAAGGTGGTCGCCTTCTGCTAAGATACAATGTTGAATGCGTTCCTTAAAACTTGCTACGGATTTCGCTAACATACCTCTAGGAATGGCGTTAATTTCCTGGTGAATAGTTTCTTTAAGTTCCTGTATTGTTTGTGGATTGTTTATGTAAACTCTAGATTTTAAAAATCCTCATAGAAAGAAATCTGGAATAATTGTAAGATACGGTGAGCGAGAAGGCCTAGTGACATCACCAAAACGTGAGAAAACTCTTGTAGGGAATGTTCGCCGAAGGAATTCCATACTAATGCTGTATGGGCTGTTGCCCCATCTTGTTGGAACCATACATTATGTATCTCTACACGTTGACGGCGCAGGTCTGGCAAGAAATATTCTTCCAACATTTCTAGATACCGTTGTGCATTCACTGTCACTGCTCTGCCGTCGTTGCCTTAAAAAAAATAAGGACCAATGATCCCCTTTTCACTAACCCCCCTACACACAGTCTCACGTAAGCTATGAAGAGGTCTCTCAGCTACGTTTTGAGGATTTTCTGCACACCAAAATCATAAATTCTGTTTGTTGACTGCTCCGTCCAAGTGGAAATGCGCTTTATCACGCATAAGGATAACTACTCCTTCATTTTCGTCTAAAATTTCACTCGTTGTTACAAAAATTTACACATTGCCCCTTATCTGCTTAACTCAATTGACGACATACTGCCAGCTTGAGAGGATGAAATTTAAAATATTTGACCAAAATCTTTCTCACAGTGGATGGGCGAAGCTCGAGAGCAGATGCCCACTTCTGAATTGAGCGGCTCGGACTCTGAACTGTTGCAAGGCGCACTCTTTTAACTGTCTCAGGGGTGCTAAATGTCCTTACTCCTTAAAAGTCCAGGAGGTTTCTTCTTTAGCAATGATCCAGTTGTGTTAACATTATGTATCCAACGCAATATCGTGTTACGATCAGGAACAGCACCATGCTGTGCAATGTTAAAATGTGCACAAAAGTCTCGCCGAGTCTGAGTGACTGATTCACCAGTTGCGTACTAACGTCGCATGACAAATGTACGATACTCAAGGTTCCACATCTCGGCAACAATTGAAACTGCACTCTTCCCCCTTCACAGCGCAACAACTTCCGGCCGTTACCGAACGATATTCCTAGTATACTACACAAGTCAAAAACATGCGTTTCCCAGTAATCACCCGGTATAACTGTAAACTGTGCTCAGTGTGGTTTATTATTTTAATTTATAGTAGTTATATGGATTGTAAGTTACTTAATCTATTTTTGTCAGCCTATATAAGCCAATATGAAAACCATAAAGCGTATGAACAAAAATCTCCGTAGGTGAGCTCCCTAGTTTAAAAAACCAGCAGTGTTAGTTCATTTACAAATTAATGCTTGCTCTTGTTTATTGTGTTTGGACTGTTCCCTTGCAATCCCATAAAAACTTCTAATGGCATAGACCTTAGAACAACACTAGTAAAATACAATAGTCAAAATAAACTTGAGTCTATTATTAAATTGAAAAGTGTGATCATAGGCAAATGAATCATACTATAAACCCTTTATCATTATGGTGAGTAATAAGAAACAATTCAGTATTATGAGACCTGTGTGTTCAAGTCCCTGATAGTTAAATGTTCTGTATTTAAATGATTTAAACATTTATGTTTTATGATCTAACATAACTATATTATTACATGGAGATTTTAAGCATAACCAGAACAAATACTAACTTAACTGAAACTCATTAAAATATGAGAGTGGATAATATTTTTTTTAATTTTATGGAACTACAGTATGATTTTTTAAATAATATCTATAGTTAATGTTAAAATCTATACCTGTACTAAGTAAAACATCACAAGTGAGATTTAAAGTGTAATGCAGAGGTGATAAGACGATGTGATTGTGATTGCTTGAAAATGTGGGGCCATGCAAAGCTCTGATTCCTGGCTTATAAACGTTATTTAAATTCAAGCAATAACAATAGTAATCAACACAGACAGTACACAACACGGTTAGTATAGCTTTTTACAAAGTCTTGCACCTTAATGTGCTACAACACATAGAGTAGAGTCAAGAGATTTGCATTGAGTAGGTGGTTGCACATTAATTATAAACTAACAAGCTAAAGTTTCTTTTGAATAAATAAAGAAGGTAGGCTTAGTATAAAAAATACTTATAATAACGTTTAATAGGTATAATATTTGTACTGTATTCAAAAATTGTTAAATTTTATTGCCAACGTTTTACTTATCAAAATAAGTAACTAACAACTTTTGACAAATATGCAATGAATGTCTGCACAAGACAAATTAATATAATATTGGTGACAAACCAAGATATAGTAGGCTATTCGCTATTCCATATCATTTGGTGAACTAATGTTGTTATAGAGATAGGTGGCTAAGTCTATTAATGACTAGTCAGTCTAAGGCACTGTATGTTATCTGAAGACATCCTATTTTTAATTTCTTATTTCAAGCTAAGAACAATTTTATAGATTCTTTTTTACCAACAATCCATATAAAACGGATATGCTGTATGACTTTTAGAGGAGGAGTTTTTTTGTTAAGCATGGCAATTTGTAGCCTAACCATCCCATCCATTTTATTTTCTAAATAGAATGAAGTGGGGTCCAAAACACAATGTTTTTAACTTCCAACAAATTGTAGTAATACAATTTTTAACAAAACATCCTTACCTCTTTTGGTTGCATCTATTGGTGAGTCTGGTCCTCCTTTCTCTGCCCAGTCTGGGAAAACATAACATGATTGTTTAAATTTTTTAACATTGAACAAATCTTACAATTCACTATTATTACAGAATAAATAGCCTATAGAATAATATATTTTATATAATTAAATGTTGCCACAAAATGTTTATGATTTTAAGATCAAACATGGCGTTGGTTTAAAATGTATCTCGGCATGGTAACTTTATATCAACATAAGGAATTATCAAGTTTTCAATACTAAACGAGAAACATATTTTATCACCTGTGAATCACAGATTAATAAAACAGGCAAGAATAACATCTAAATGATTATGGGTATGTTAAAGTATTATATTAATAATTTATTTAATCATTGAACAATTGGAGAACAATGGAGATTAATCTATTAGAAGTACTAACACAGTTTCTTTTCATTTTAAGCCTAAATGAAAACTTATGAACAGGGCCCTACAAAAATTACCTTTTTGTAAAATGGATCAATCTAATTTAAAATTGCAATCTTAAGATCACAAAAACACAATAATTGGATTTAAAGGAAAATTCTATTAATACAAATTATACCAACAATGAAAAAAACTACAAAAACTACCTACCCTACCATATATGGAACCATCATGACCAAGCCTAAACAACATGTAGGAGCAAGATTTTTTTGAAAAGCAACAAGGAAGCAAAATAACACTCAACCAAACCACTCTTTGCAGTAAAATAAATTAATATTACTAATGCTAATTTGCAGATATGTGCCCCACCACCTTTTCTGAAATAGTATTTTTACCTCTCCTCACCCAGTGACTAACAGGACAGGAAGAAGTTCGCCTGATTGATGCCATTTGAGTACTTTGGTTATCTGCCATCACACTGATAGCATTAGAGCTGGTAGTTTTTTTGGTAAGAGTTAGCATGGTGAAAGAGCAAGTAATATCAGCGTATGAACTCGCTTTTACAGATGATAAACAGGACACTTTGGAACTAATATCGATCTCAGAATTTCTCTTGATTGATAGTTTTCTTCGTAACTTTGGAGAACCAGACAAAGTTTCAAAAACTTTAATTTTACCTGAGAGGTTGCAACTGTTTTTAAAGCCTCTCTCATTAAGAGGAGTCTGTGAACAATCAAGAGTTTTCTTCATTCTGTTTGAAGTCAATGTTGAGTTTGGCTGAGTCAAAGTTTCTTTGGCTCTCTGGCTCAGGGCTTTGAAGGCAGGAGATTCACGTATAGGAGCAGGAACTAGTCTGCGTGGACTGATACTACGGTCCTTGAGAGGAATGATGGGTATGATGGGCTTAAATCTCCGGTCAGATTTGGAATGATTTAAGAGAGGCTGCATATCCTTATTTGTCACAAGGCTAACCCTGTCAACGTTTCCTTCACTAGTCGATGTTTCACAATTATTTTTTGTTTCTCTAACTTCATGGAAAATATATTCTTTTTGTTCATCTTCCAAATGAAAATCAGGTAGAGAAATCGTGTGCATTTGTTTAATATTTGTTAAACATTCAAACTGAATAATGAGTTTTGTTACACTAGTTGACTTTTCTTTGCTTTGTTCAAAATTGTTTTCCCTTGAATCTAGAATATCACTACCAGACCATGCTCTACTCTGGATTTTCCTTTTCAAATTTTTAATCTGCCGTTTTCTTGTAAATATATCCCCAACAGATGATCTCAAAATCATATTGCTCGAAAGAGACAAGTTTTCATTTGCAGTATCCCCAAAATGTAAATCAACAGTTTTCCAGAAATATACTGAAAGGTGTGCAATATCTGATGGAACATAGTTACTTTGACAGATGACAAAGTGAGTTGAAAACCCTACAGGAGAAAAGCAAATGGAATATTTACAAGCAAAGGATTTACAATTTTCAACAGACAAAATAAAATTTAAGGACTTTGGGTTGTTCTGATTTTCTACCAGGATATAAGTAATTCCCTTGTGACTAAATATAGTTTTAAACTGCATAATACTTTCTGAGGATCCATCACATATAACATTAGAGCAGGGTTTTAACATTTTTGTACAATTCACCACACTAGGAATTCTGCGAGAGGATAAAAAAACTGAATTTGTACCTCGTTGATGCTTGGCGTCAGTTGAGTTTTTGGAATTCCAGACTAATGCTAAGCCTCCATGTTCCTTATTGACACATACGCAAACAGAATCTTCATAATTTGTTTTGGTTGTAAGGCAAACACAGACTTGATCAGTAGTGTCATTAACAAATAACTGATCTGGAGGCTTAGGACGTTCATCCTCGGACACACCCAAATCCTCTATATCTGTTAACGTCTCATGAATATCAATTCCTCCTTTGACATGTATAGCTTCTTCTGGAGCGTCCAAGTCAAACTTTCTAGTGTGTTTCATGTACACAACAGACGAATGGTCTTCTAGCTCAATAGCACCCTCATAGGGAGTTATTGTTTCTGCCCTTGAGAAGCCCTCTTCATCTGCAGATGTAAACATATCTTCTGTATCAGTGTTCACTAAAAATTGAATATCTGGGCTTGGTGATATTGTGTTTATAATTGGTATTTTATGTAATGAGAGGAATGATTGTTTTGCTTCTTCACTGAAAGGCCCGTTTCCTTCTTTTAAAGTAATGTAAGAATCCCCCAGTTCCCGTAGATGATCAGGTGTTAAAGCCATTTGTCTTTGGTGGTCATGTTCATCTTCTTCACCAGATATGTCAATGTCATCAAGGTCCGTTGTTGGATCTATTTCAGTAGATGGAACAGTTAGAATATTTCCTTGGCGGTTTTCCACATCACTTAAAAGAATATCCTCTGTGTCAGTTAAATCTTGTTTTATATTACATGGCGTGGGTTCTAAACCAAGTTTCATTTTTGTTTTAGTACGTTTTCGTTTTCCACTAACAGATAAAAATAAATCCTCAGTATCAGTCAGTGGTTCTTGAACTTCCTGACCTGTGACTTTTAACTTCTTCTTTTGCACTTTCATGACTTCACTAAAATGAATTATTCCTCCCTCAATCTCTGGTAGGTCAGGCGTTGGTCCAAGATCACGAGCAAATGATGGATTTGTTAAGTCATCGTCATCAGTAGCTATATCTTCAACTTCAGATATTCCTCCCTCAAGTTCTAAATGTGGCGGTTTTAAACCCCCTGGTGACACATTACCAAGAGGCAACACAACTGAAACAGGCCGTCCACTTGGATCCTCTTTCATCAAAATCATTTCCCTTACAGGTTCAGGAAGGGGTTGGCTATTTTCATCATCCGATGGTTCGGGTGATTTTGGTCTAAATGTTTCCTCATCTCCTTCAACAAATTCTGTGTCAGTTAATACTGCATCTGAGTGCACTGTTGCAACAGGAAGAAAGTTTTGGGCTGTTTCTAAATCACTATCAGCTAAATCTTCCATATCTGTCACATATAGCGGCTTTTCTAGGGTATTTAGTTTCAAGGAGTGGCATACCACAGGAAGGTCAGGTGTAATGGCTAGTGGTCTTGTTTTACCATCAATCTCGATAAAATGAATCTCATAATTATTGTCCTTCCAAGCTCTAGCTCGCATCTCTCTCACAGCGGATAAATATTCATTCTCAGTTGGTTCAAAATCATCTTCTTCAGTACTTGCCTCTGTGGATACTTTTATAACTGGCTTTGATGTTGATGCTTTAGCAAACTCTTCTTCAGTTTCAATGTCTTCTGTGTCAGTTAAAACTACTCTGTCTTGTTTTGGTAGACTTAGTGCATGTTTTGAAACTTCTTTTTCTTTGATAGAAAAAAACTGGTTTTCTGTGCCACTTGTACGATCTTCTGAAATTTGACTAGCAGCATCATCGTCAGACTCATTTGAACCTTCAAAGTGCTCTACATCAGTGCTGACTAGAGTTTCTTTCATTAAAGCACCAGCAACTTCCATTAAAAGAGTCCTCTTTTTAGGTGCATAAGTTATGTGTTTAGGATGTACGTAGTTTGTGTTGTCGGTATCTGATTCACTTACTACTTCCTTTACTGGAACTTTTTCACTTATTTGAACACTGGATATTTCAAGTTCTGGTAAAACATCTCTTTCTTCCTCATCTTTCATTTTACGTCTGTCATGTTCAATTTCTTTCAATTGTCTCAGTCTTTTTCTACGTTCTTGAGGACTCAAAGGTCTTTGTTTCTTCATTCGTTCCTCTTCATCAGAGTCAGAATAAACAACTTCTGTGTCAGTTATATCACTTAAATGAGGAGAGAGAGACCTTGGTGAAAGAAGATTATAATCTGCTTTACTTCTTAGCCCAGAACTACTTTTTTTTGCGGCTTTACCTTTCTTATAATTTCGTTTCTGTCCTGGTTCAGGTGTCACAGAAGGGGATGGGATGGGACTTTTCTTTACACTATCAGAAATACTAACAGTTCCATCATCCATTAATCTTTGCAAAACTTCATCATTTTCAGTATTTTCACCCATTTCATCAGCGTTGTCTTCTTCGTCGGATAAATCCATATCTTCATAGTCTGTAGTTCCATCTCTTTCATAAAACAATTTTAAGAAATCACCCAACTGAGGGGTATTTGAAGTAGTAAAACTACTTTCAATGTTTGATTTTGATTGTTTAGACGTAGGACTGCTCATACGCACAAGCTCTTCATATGTCCCACTGTGGTCAATTATGTCATTTAACTGAAAAGAAATTTTCGGTATACAATCTAAATCCTTTTCATCGTCTGAAGCTTCCACAATTTCAGCATCTGTCACATCACCATCCTCAATGACATTAATTTTCAAATTTCTGGGGTTTCTGTCTTCAGGACCAACATCCAAATCTTCTATATCAGTTAGTGGATCTTGGGATTTTTGATAAGGGTCTATGTTTATTTCAGTGTGAATGACATTTTCATCAGTATTTGTTATGGAAATAAGAGGAATTGAGCTATCTTTTCCAGCCATAATTTGGTTGTGAATCAGACTAGTCTGGTGTCTGTCTTTGATGTGATGGTTTATTATTTCATTTATAAGGATATCATCACTTGGAATAGGATCTGGATCCTTGTCTGTTGCCTCTTCTTCAGAACTACTCTTAAATTTGATTGACTCTAGCAATGCCTTATCAATGTCTGATGATGTTGTCTCAGTTATTAGTTCCTCACAATGAAAATCATCTTCAAATGATTGTACACTAACTATTTTGTCGGTTATTGCAAGTGGTAGATCCAGTTCCTTCACCAGTGATGGACGATAAGTATTGACGGTTTCGGAAAGCGAAGAGTCTGGTATCTGTGGAACAACACAAATTTTGTTAGAATGAGAATTTGATCCTATCGTCGAACCTCTGTCACCTTGCCTAGTGCAATGTCATTTTTTAAGATTTGATTTAATATTAAAAAGATTGGTCAAATTCAATTTTGAATTCATTAGTTAATTATGTATAGAAGAACATTTTACAGGGAGAATCGGTAATTGTTATAGTAGTTTTACAAAAAAATACAATAGAAAACTAAATGCAGCTTCCTGGCATAATTATATAAAATATGAATGACCTACACTAAAAAAAACAATACTTTCTCCATATACTATGGTATAGGGGGAGAAAGTAATTATCGTACCTAATATTATCATACTTTTCGTATAATAAACCTATTCATATTGTTTTTTTGTAGAATACGGCTCGATGTTCATACGGTGTTAAAATATTCTGTTGACTATCTATAAATGGTTTGGTTGGTATATAAGTGACAAGCAACAAAACATCATGCTTTATGTGTAAATAATTCATGCATATATAATTAAATGACCAAGCATTCATGCTGCATTACAAATCTTTATACTTTTTATGTCAATAATGCTTTTTGTTTTATGATTTACAATTTTCCTTATTTTACTTACTTAATAAATAAAATTTCGATCAAAAATTAATGACTGAATTTGGGTCAAAATATATAATAAAGTACCGTAGTAGTAGTAGTAATAATAATAATAAATGTGAACCCACAATATTAATGCAAATATCATAAATAATAATATAATTAAGCATATTTTGAAGAGAGGTGGAAATTGAATGGATGAAGTTTCTATTAGATCCAAGTGATGTAAATCAACTAGGCCTAATTAAAACTTTTATCTTACACAATTATTTTCATCATCTTACTATATTTGTATTTAAGCTTGTTCTTGTGCAAATCTCCCCATCTCAATACCAATTATAAATTTGGAAGGTCATAAAATACACTAGGCCTATTGTAAATTTTAAAAATATATTATCAATTTCCAGTTATTATACCTAACTAAACTGGGAACACATATCTTTCAGACACACTTCTTAAAGTTCCAGTAGGCCTATAAGATTTTAGGTAAAATAATAAGGATTTTACCTACATAATAACATTATTAAAAAAGGTAATAAAAAAATGAAAAAGATTGTGGTGGTAAATTATCTATACTACTCATACTATGAACTATATCAGAGCTGTCCGACTTGCATGGCTAGTTCTTACATAATGGAATACACAAGAATCACACTTGACAGGCTGCCAGTTACGCGGCTTTACGGATGTATATGTATGACTTTAATGTTTAGTATGTTATACGAGTATACTTAATGGTTATACTTATACTTAACCGTCGCCCTCCCCTGGTTAATTTTAAATTTTTAAAACTGCTGCATATATTCTAACAAGCTTTGATAAACCTAATTGGGGGTGTTTTGAAATTCCCCAAAACCCCTTAAAAAGGGATGCTGGGGGTAACTTAACATTTTAAAATAGTTTTTAGAAGTTTTAAATAGGTACCGGTAGCAAATTTTTCAATCTTTAAACCCTTATCAATTAGCACATCATTTTAAAGGCCATTAGTTTAAAAGAATATCGGCAAAAACCAGACGTCTCTATCTCAACCCATTACAGATGGTGGCCATTTTCTTTTCATCATACTGAGAGAGCCCATGTAAAATTAAACATCAATATCTATTAGCTTTTTTATGGGCTGTACCAGGGAAACTAAACTTATTATTATTGTATCAAGAAAGTAAAAACTACTTTTTGATCAGTATGACAATTCTGCCCAGGCAGCTAAAAATTGTTAAATATAAAGCCTCATCAAGTGAAACTTTAATTTTAAGGCCATCAGTTAAAAAGAATATAGGTGAAAACTAGAAATCTCTATCTCAACCCAATACAAAATGGCGTCAGTTTTTAGTTTTCACTAACCTCAGAGGCCCCACATAAAAATACCCGAATTATAATATCCGATATTAATATATTATCAGGTTGTACCAGGAAAGCGTATCCCTTCATAAGAAAAACTGTAATTTTTAGTTGGTATCACAATTTCCCCTGGGAGCCAAAATGAAGCATATTGGGGCAGCTCAAAAATGTTAAATGTAATGCCTGAAAACGGAAAACTGCCGCCATTTTGTCCTGGGTTGAGTCAGAGACCTCTGGTTTTGGCCGATATTCTTTTAAACTAATGGTCTTTAAAATGATGTGCTACTTGATAGGGGTTGCTATTTAAAAATGTTATTTTACCCCCAGCGGTTATGTCCTATTCCCCCCAAGTTTCATTTTGCCCGTAACCTAATTAGTATCAGTTCGCCCATGGTCCCAGATTATCCCTCATAATCCTCAGCTCTACCTGTGTCAGGAGTCTCACTCCATCCATGGAGGCAAAGCCCCAGCCCTCCCCAACTATGACCCCATCACCTCGACTACACGGTTATTGAAGCTTAAAATATTTGTTTGACATACCAGACAAACCAAGCGAATTTCCTTTATAATATTAATGAAAAGTTGAAACACAAAGGTCCCAGCATTAACATATAAAGTGGCATGTGTCCTTATTAATTGGTTAAGTTAAGATGAAATAAACAAAACAGAATACCGGTACAGTAATACAAACAAACTAGTGTACCTGTTGCTCGAATTCGAGCAATTGCGAAGCATTACAGGCGTTATTTTAAAACGAATAATAGTCATAATTTCCGATGACTTTATAAGAGTTGACTCAAAGATTATGGAAATACTCAAGATGTACACAACAGTTAGATATAAACAAAATTTTTTGTAAAAATCTTATCTTTTTTCAAAAGCTGACCTTGTTTTTTAGTGTTTTCTAAAAATTTTCCCCACTCGTAGCCGCATTAGGTTGTCTATAATAACGATTATAAATGAAAAAAAAAAAACATTATTTCTATTTCTTCTACTGTACTTGGTTGTGTTCTAAGACTTTTCTGTTTCCATTGTTTGCAAATCGGCTCTTTCAATTATTGCTCAAGAAATGTAGCACAGTGTTAATTCAGTTTTATTTTTAGTATATTAAATTGTCCAGTATTTCTCACTTTTTTCCATTGTAATTTTAAAAATTACACCAACCAAGTATCGTCTACTACAGATGCAATACGCCAAAGAATATCGTCTACGTGCAATCTCCAAGAAGTGGTAAAAAGGCAGAAACCAACCCATACAATAGATATAAGTTAACTCCATAAGAAATAATTTTAAGAGTTACTGTGATATTAGGATTTTCCACTGATTTGGTAATAGAACATTATATTGCAAAACATGGCACGATTCAGGAGAAAATCGATTTTAAAATCAGAAAAAAACCATTGCAAATACTTCATTTTGACAAATTTAGTAAATCACAATTTAAATATTAGCAGCGGTTTCATTCAAAAGTAGTGTAAATGTATGCATATGGTCGTAATGTAAACAAATCTGAAGAGGGAACTTTAAACTACTTGGGCCTCTGGGGCAGAGCCCCAAGGGAATTTATCTTGTTTCTCTTTTGATGGCTCATCTACAGACTAAGACCTTTCTTTAGAAACCCCTACCAAGTTTCTACGCCCAGCCGTTCTCTGTAATTAGCTGTGACAAAACCCCGTTTTTCCTCCATAAGAATAACATTGGATGGGAATTTAAAGGCCACTGGGGCAGAGCCCCAAGGGAATTTACCACGTTTCTCTTTTGATGGCTCATCTACAGACCAAGACCTTTCTTTAGAGACCCCTACCGAGTTTCTACACCCAGCCGTTCTCTCAAATTAGCTGTCACAAAGAAAAACAGTTTCAAATTAATATATAGATAATCACACCTGAGGTAATATACCCCCGCCGCAGCAAACCTGCCGACTAAGCGAATTTCCATTTGTCTGAATTGATTTTCAGTTAAATATATTTTAATAACATTAGGTTTAACGAGTACCTAGGTTTGCTGCTACAAGGAAACTAATAAAGTGTGTTTTTGAGTAAAATATTGATAGCTTAGTACAAAATAAATAAATTTGCCAAGTTTGATCAAAATATATTCATAAACAAGCAAACTACAACATTTGACAATATTCTCCATAAAAATAACATGGGAATTTTAAATTTACAATTTTTTAAATTTTCTCCGTTACTAATAATCGAACAAAAATACTTTTATATACTAAATTATTTGTTTTTTTAAGCTCTTTAAAAAGGTCTAAAGAGAAATCGGGAAATTTTGTGTTTTGAGGGTCAAAAGTGAGAAAAACCTATTTTTACCCCATAAAACCCCCCGTAAAGCCCCGTTCCCATGGTCCGATCGTGCTGGTTCGCGAACTCATTCAAGTTTATCCCGCTTTACACCTTTAAACCAAATTTCATCAAAATCGGACAAAAATTACTCAAGTTATCACGTTCACGGACGTATATATATATATATATATATATATATATATACATATATAAAAATTTGAACGAATAGTGTTTTTGGCCTCTGGGGACATCAAAATGAAAAAGTAAATCGGTCCTGGGTCTAGGTCTTACCGTGCCACCTACGGTAATAGCTACTTCCCTATAGGGAAATTCGCTAAAAGTGAAAGAATAACAAACAAATAAGTACAGCTGAGGTATTTTCGCATAGTATGAAACATAACGTCGAGGAAAACGTTATGCTAAATTTGAGTAATTCTAGTTACATCTCAGAGTTGTTTGAAACTAATTTTAAATATCTCTATTTGCGACGTCAAGGATCACCTACATTATTTCTGCTCTAAGTGTTAACTGATAACTTCTAATGAATGCTTAACACCCTGCTTCAATTTGAGTTAACATGTTGCAACAAAGTTTTTCCATCATTGAGAATTGAAGAAAACTGTTGCTTTACTGAGATAACCTGTGTTAAGTATTTTAAGTTGGGTAATTTCTTTATTTATTTCTTTGATTTGAGGCATCCCCTAAACCAACGAATTTTCTCCGTAGAGGGTGATTCCAACCATTTCATGTAGTCCATGTTTGACCCACAAACTATGGTTAAAAC